GATGTACCCAAAATTGTATGGTATAACAATGGATTTATAGAATACAATAGTGAGAGTCATAGATGGCTAATGGTAGTAACATCAATTGTAGCTGGATTGATCCTGATACCGTACTTCATTGTGATGTTGCTGGGGAACTTTTTATTGAAATTTGACAGATTGAGGGAATATATTCGTCCATTTTATGAAGCGATTCATGCTCCTTATAGAAGAAACAAGTGGTATTGGTTTGCAATACATCAACTCTTTGTTCTGTTTACTTATGTGTCTGAAACTTTCAGCAAAGGACGAGTACCACTGTTCCTTTCTCTCCTTCTCATTTATCACATTTTGCTTTATCTTCAAACAAAATTAGCACCTTTCAGATACAAGACACTCAACTGGTTGAATCTAATGATACTCCTTGCTCTTAATATTGTGTTTCTGGTTTCACATTTCATGTATTTGACTGATGTTTCTCCAAAGCAACTTGTGATGTTCTTTGCTATTGCAAATTATCCTATTATTGCAGTATTCATGATGATCATTGCTTATCACATCTTACTAGTGACAAATAAAGTCAATCGAGTGTTGCTGTTGTATCAAAAGGTTTATCAATTAAAGGAACGCTTTCCTGGTTTCAAAAAGAAGAAACAGTATAATCAAAGAAGACGTCCATATTATGGGTGTAGTGATTCAGGTGATTATACTGAGGCCAGGGAACCACTCCTTGAACAAACTTTAATTAACTAATGCTTGATCCCATTTTAGTAATTTTAAGCTTCTTTTTTATAATAAAATAATTATTATAAATACATGGCTAATTTATGCTTTGATCAAACACATTTTTTGAGTTCCTTATGAAAAATAAACTGAAATCATAAATAGGCAGTTTCAATAGGTATCCTCATTTAATGCAAACTATCTAACATTATCATCTTGTATGGTAATTGAATTATTTTATTGGTTGTAACCACTCCTTTCTGAAATATTCACACATGCAAGTTTGTGTTTGATTGACTGCCTCTATTTTATATACTAATTGTGTATGCTAATATCATCACTGGATAATCATATCAGACTATTAGATAAGGAAAATGGAGAATTACTTAACATATTAGCCTCCTCTCTCTCTCTCACTTCACCCCATTTCCTTCACATTATCAAGAGTACATTTTCTTTTTTTTCTTCCTATTTTTACTATCAAAGGTTTTAAAGGTCATTCCAATACAGAGTATACTCATAATGATTAAGCAGATCAGAGAATGGAAATATTTACTTTTGGGATTTAGTAGAAGTGAGTGATTGTTATCACATTAGTGTGTGTTTTGGAATAAATACTTTTTGTTGACCATTTGAAATAAATGTATTTATGTAGAGTTTGTGATTTGGGGATTATTAGTGAAAATTTGAAATAGGCACCTTTAATGTTTTGTTGATACATTTTAGACTTTTTCTTTAATAGTAGACTCTTACTATTCAATTTTATCCTAAAACAAGCAAATTATTGAAACAGGCACACCTTTGTTTTGTTGATACATTTTAGAAGCTTTCATTTTTGCAGCATGCAGCATGCTTTCTGTCAGCTGGATCTGAGGGACCAGTGAAGGTCTGGAAGAGACAAGAAGATATGAAGGAAGACAAGGATGAAGATGATTAGGTTACACGTCATCAGTCTTTTATCAATAAGGAGTGATGAATTGCTTCTTTTTTCATCTATACTCACTACTTTATACAGCGCTTTCAGTCACAAGGCATGGACCTACTATTTAATGATTGGGAAGGATAAGGAATTTTTTAACATCTTCATTGCCTTTAACTTTTTGCAATCTTTTCTCATCCTTCTTTAGTCCACCATGTCTAAATTTTAATTTGCTGCTCGTTTTAACACAGCTTGATAGTTTTTCCATTTCACTTGCATCTTTATTGAATATTTTGTCTCATAATTATATGAGTTTGTTTTGCAAATGCTCCTTCTAGTTTATATTGAAACACTCTTTCGACAATTATTTGTAAACTGTGAAATGGTTTTCCAAAAATATTTGTACTATTTACTTTTCATTTCAATTTTCACCATACTGTATAAGCAGCGATTGTGATCTTAGGTGTAATCTTGTTGGAATGCTACCTACAAGCATGTATCTATTCATGCTCTTCTTTTTTGCTTTGCCTTTTCTTCCTGCTGCTGTTTTTGTTAACACTAGCCATCAACTGGAAGGAATTTTATGTAACGAAACTAAAATATTAACTGGTGATTTTTCCCTTCACCTTGACACCAGGATTACTCACCAGATCACGTCTAATGGTGTTTTCTGTCCAGTTAATATGAATCACTATTCTCTCACTATTACAAGTGACTCCAATGATTCATTTGCTGTCATTAGTTGTATACCTAGTGACAAGTACTGGACAAGAGGATTCGCATTCTATGGCACCAATGGATCACTAACAATGAGAGGACTCCGTTTCACTAACTGTGGTACCAATCTCACTACATTAGATAGTGACATTGTTAATTCTACCACTTCTTCTATTTATTTCACTAAACATCATGCTGCTGTACTAGTATTCACTGATATTGCTAGTATTACTGTTAGCAATGTCACTATCATGAAGTACAGTGGTTTTGCCATTGTAGCAGTTAATCTTCCTTATTCTGTGTTTGATTATCTTGAGGTCAGTTACTCACAACAAACCGAATTTGGTATTGGTAGAGGACTATTACTCCTTTTTTTAAACCGTATTGCAAGAGAAACCATAGATGCTCAAACTCAATACGAAGTAAACATTTCTAATTCCACTTTCCATGAAAATGCTATTAGATCTAGGACCCACAGTCATGCCCATTATACTTGTCCATCAACAAAGCATCTTAGGCTATCAAATATGCCTGTTGTCAATGCTGCAGCAGTTACAATGCTATTCACTCAAAACGATACATCTCCTGCTATTGTCAGAATTCTAAGTAGCAATTTCACTTTCAACAATGAGTATTATGCTGGAGCAATGTTGATTCTCAGTTTTAGTTCATCTATTGATTCAAAGACAATAATTGATGGTTCTTATTTTGAACACAATTTTGTACAACACTCATGTAAAGGAGGTGCAGTATCAGCAATATTCTTTTTTGACAAAAGAATTTTAACAACAAGATACAATCCATTAGTAATTACCAATTCAAAATTTAAAAGCAATGGATTTGGTGATGGTACTGCATGGACTTCAGGAGCAATAGACATGGCAGTATATAAAGATGTTAATGGCTCTGAACCAAAAAGTGTAGTTGTTATTTTATTTTCCAAACTTCATTTTGAACTTAACGCTTCTTCAAAATTTGGAACATGCTTGTATGCTATTGCAAAGAATTCCCCTAAGGAAAGTAAACCTAGTAACTATTTGACTATTTTCTTTGATAAAGTAGTTGCTTACAACAATCCAACTGTGAGAGAGCGAAATAATATTTTCAATGCTAGTTTGTTTCATTTTGTTAATATTGCTAATGTTTCCATTACAGGAACTGTAAGTGCACCTGGAAACTTTTCACACAACTATGGTGCTGTATTTGAATTATTTAGATCATATGCAGTACTTGAAGGAAACCTGTTTTTTATTGAAAATATTGCTAATCATGGTGCAGCATTTTCACTCGAACAAGGGAGTTTAATTTACTTCAAGAAAGGACTAAGAGCTAATTTTAGTCATAACACAGTTCAGTCTCTTGGAGGAGCCATCTATTCAGTGAATGAAAATAAGGTACGAACGTGCACATTTCAGTTGTATTTCCTTCATGACTACAAAAATATCAGTTTAACTTTCAATAATAATACAGCTGCAATAGCTGGGAACTCTATATATTCACAAAACCTTTATGAATGTTACTTTAAGAAATTTTCATTTCCCAAGCATGCTATGATTGTCAAAATGTACAATGCAATGTTCAGGAATATTCTTCCAGGTGATGTAGCTTCTGAACCTAAATCCATGCAACTTTGTATGAATAAGACCGTGCTTGAAATTTACCCAGGGGCGTTAATGCATATACCAATAAATGTGGTTGATCAAAATGGTAGCTTGACTTATGCAGTTATAACAGTAATACCTGTTGAGAAAGGGAAAAAACTGAACAGGTGGATTTTGGACTCTCAAGGATCATTTATTGTCAAACTAGTTAAAGGAACAAAAAAATGTACAACAATGAATGTAACAATATATACAACTGACATTACAACACTGAATAAGGAGACAACTCTCCAGTTCACAATGCTTCTAGATCTATTTTGCATTTCGAAACACAATGAAATTTATGAAGTAAGTGTCAAGCTGAAAAGATGTCCTCTTGGTTTTACATTGAGTTCAAGGGGAAGTTGTGCTTGCTCAGATGTTATCAAAAAATTTAATCAACAAATAACATGTAACATTGAAAATAACGTCATTATTAAGCCTGGTCATTTGGGTGTATGGATAGGCAATTCAACCAAAAGCAATAAATTCTCTATTGCTTACTGTCATCCTTCATACTGTAACATTGGGTCTCAACTTAATGTGCTACAACTTAACTCATCAGGTTCATATCTTGGTTCAACTGCCAACTCAACAATATCTCTACCACTATGTTATGGCTCTAGAACTGGAGATGCATGTGGTGAATGTATTCCTAATTACAGTGTAGTGTTTGGTTCTACTGAGTGCAAGGACTGCTCTAGTATTTTTTGGCCATTCACAATTATTCTCTATATAATAGCTGGTCCTCTTCTTGTTTTGCTTCTGCATACCCTCAAACTAACTCTAACAACTGGTACACTCAATGGTATTATATTCTATGCACAAATTGCTAATATTGGTATTGTCCATTACTTCAATATACCATGCATTGAATGTGCCAAGGAATTAGTATATCTTATTAGACCTGCAAGTGTATTCATATCATGGCTAAACCTAAA